CAAACTCGACGTGTGAGTGTTTCTTACCTTTGGTGCGTGAGTTTTGTTGCCCTTTTCAAACTCAGCGCATGAGTTTGTTCCCCTTTCCAAACTCGGCGGGCTGGTAGAAATGCTTTTGTTGCTCTTTTGAACTGGGCGTGCGAGTTTTTTGCCCGTGTGCGATTTGTTTGCCCTTTTCAAACTTGTTTGTGCCACAACCGAACTGACCCCAAATCGAAAACACACACAGAGGCACATACAAATATGTGAACAGACACACACACACACACACACACACACACACACACACACACACACATACACACACACACACACACACACACACACATTGCGAGCGCATGGGAGCCAAGTCTCATGTGACATCTGTCGACGGCGCAGCATCCAAATGCAGCAGCCGCAACTGTGTGAAGTGGATGCTGTGCTTCCACAGTCTACACTCAAAACTCTCGGCACGCTTGACATCCCACCAGTACTATTTCCCAGCAAGCAGTGCTCGCGCCGCGGCTGGTGGGATGCATCGGCGGGCTGGCATTTCACAAAATGGGGCGCAGGCTACTGTGTTTGCCTGGATGAATTTGGAATTCGGCGCAGAATGGCCACGGCTGGCACATCACACCCGACGTGGGGCAAGCAATGCCGCATTGTATAAAATTGGCTGCTCAAGGAAAAGTACTAGTGTGGCATACTGTGCAGCCACACGGGCCCTGCAGGGCCCGTCCCGGACCTCCAGCCTGTTTCCCTACAGGGAAACTTCCAGGCTCTTGCCTGGAAGCTTCCTTCTGACAGGGCCTACAGGCCCCAGCCTGTTTCCCTACAGGGAAGCTTCCAGGCAACTTCCAGGCTCTTGCCTGGAAGCTTCCTTCAGACAGGGCCTACAGGCCCCAGCCTGTTTCCCTACAGGGAAACTTCAGGGAACTTCCAGGCTCTTGCCTGGAAGCTTCCGCAGGGTCTAGGCCAGGGAGGCATTGGCACGGCCAGCCTCCTGCACGGGCCAGCTCTATAAAGGACTGGCCCGCCCTGCAGGAGGKAGTAGTCAGTAGGCACTTGTAGTCTTCAGGATTTCGGCCGCAACACTCAGGAGGAGCGTTGCAGTAGTCTTCAGCGCTAGGCAGTAGTGGTAGCGCTAGGAGTAGTCTTCGGCGCTGGGCGCCATAGCCATAGTGGTCGTCTTCAGCGCTGGGCGCTATAGGGCAGGGTAGCAGTATCGGAGAGAGACACTGGCGGAGGCCAGCGGTACTTACCTGTGGCACCATCGCTCCAGCTCCATCCTCGGTGTACCTGCATCAAGACGCCAGTTTTACAGGTTAGTATTGGACTGAGAGAGAGA